ATTATGGATGCTTATTTTAGCAGTTTTTTTTTGTTGTTGTTGTTGTTGTCTGTCGGGGCAGAAGGGGTTTTTGGAAGGGATAACCCTTGTTCAACGTCCATTTCATCTGAGTCATCAAGACGTCCTGAACTCATGCCTTGCAATAGAACTTTGACTGGGGGTCCTGGGTCCTTACTTATTTTATCTCTATGCTATTCTGTTGGACATTCTAGTTTTCCTTTGGACTCAGTCACCGGCGTACTACTTTCAACATCAGGCTTCTTTCCTGAATTTTGGCTTCTAGGACATTCTGTTATTTCTAGTTCTTTTTCCTGTATTGCGGTTTGAGTTCATATTGATATGAATGATTTCGTTGCGGATGCATAAGATGTATTAGGTCTTGGCTGATTAGGGAGAACATGTCTTTTGGCTTCTGCAAATGATATTGTTTTATGTAACTTTAATGTTTTGAATTTGTTTTTCTGTCTGTCATTTCAGATATGATCTTGAAAAAGCCGGGTGCTCACCCTTACAATTTATACACAAGGAAGCAGCAGAGCAGCCTTCACTGCCATAGCTCACCATCGAACATCGAGTGCACGTGAGGCTACCACAACAGGAGGCTGACACTGAAAGCAGCACACTGGATTCGGCATATACGACATGACTGAGCAATTTAGGTATTCAGGTTTGAAGTTTTTAGGCAGGTTAGGAAACTTGGAGGTAAGTATCACATGTTTAGTGGGAATCAGTTGAACCTTTTTCCATATTTTAATCCTATAAGCACCACACACGTTTTGATCTACCAACTCTTTAACGAATTCCTCTTCAGTTACTGACAGTAAGTCTATTTCGAAGATTACTCCTCGGGATTAATTTAGGGTGTTATTTGGCTTTACTGTAACATTTGCTTGTCCTAATTTAGTTAAGTTTTAAAAGCCTATTGGACTGCTTTCCAGACTCAGTTTCTATAAAAATGTCACCAGACCTCTTAATATTTTTCAGTTTTCTTACAGAAGTAATTAAAGTCTCTTAATATTTTTCAGTTCTCCTATAGAAGACAAAAGATGTTTGTTTATTAGAAAGGGTGACATTTTTTGCAATTCTTCAAAGTTAGTTATAATTAAAAAATGTGGACAGAATTCATTTGGTAGAGTGCTTTCTATGTCACTTCTTAGTCTTTCGATTACAATTGGAATATCAGGTGCATTGTTGGAACAGGAAAGTATAACAGTGGTCATATTTAAATGGAGAAAGCTTCGAGTTCGACCGTCCCATCCCCCATGGAGCCCAAAAAGGGCATGCAGATTCAGGGTTAGCCAGACCTATATGCAAACTGAGTCGACTTTCCCCAAAGCAGGACTCCCGAAACTTCACCCCCAAGCCACTGACACAAGGACTAGTGACCAGCCAATTGACATCTGTGAGGACAACAAGGTCCCCCCACCTCGTTTAGCTAAAGCAGAGACCAAAGCAATGTGTTGGGGACAGCACCTCGCCTCTCAGCTACCAGGATCCTCCTTTCCAGTGACATGGGTCTCCTAGCATGGCAGACATGTGGGCAGTTTTCTTGCCACTTGAAAACTAGGCACAAGGACTGTTCCAGTTTCTTATGACAAGCCCCAACCTTGGAAGAGAAAAACCACAAGGGAGAAGGAAACGAGAAAAGTTACAGTTAAAAGGAGATGGAAAAAAAGATAGATCACTGGGACCCCAGGATTGGGACACGCGATCACCAAGACGGTAATCCCCTGAAGGATCTTCACCAGCTATGCTTTAGCTGGGCATATTGGAATAGCCTTCATGCCTAGAGTGGCCCTAGCAAGAGCTATGCTCCTGATGTACTTTGTCCATTCTGCCCAGTGACTCCCCTCTGCCATGTTGAGGCAGCAAAGCAGGACTTAGGAGTGGGCCTTTACCTGAAGTATTCGTCCAAATAATTGGAAGACTGCGATTTTTGTCAACTATGAAACACTTTAGTTATCACTAGAACACTTCTTTAACCCCTTTATTTTGGGCCTCCTCAATTTTCCCTCATATTCAAACTTTTCTGATGAACGGAATTTACCAAGCCTTGATTTTTTTCACATGGTACAATTATAGAATTGAATAAATTGCATTTCCAGCAAATAGTAACCAGGTTCTCTTTATTTTTAAAAAATGCTCATTTTATTTTCAAAGTAGAATGTTTTATATTTACAGCAAGATATAAAGATAACATTTTTGCAGAAATTTTAATCTATATAGATTGAATGGAGTTTATATTGACTTGTCTTGCCTTGCATTCTGAGCAGGAATGCCTTCTTATTAGACAATAAGAATGTGCTCTTGCTCAGAATACAATTACAAACAATTAGAGTCAATCGAAAGGTTACGTTAATTCACTGGAAAATGGTAAAGCACACCAGGGCTTCCTGCTTAAGGGGAAGGATGACTTTGTGGAGAACTTTTGAAAGAAAACTGGCTCTTATTCATATTACACATTAGGAAAGCCATGAAAACCAACTATGCAGCCAATCCACTTTCCTCAGATCGAACCCAGATTCAGATGTCTTAACCAGTTGACCATTGATAGGGCATAAAATGAAGAATGAATATAGTAAAGGTATTTATTGCTCTCCTAATAGCATACACATGAATGATTTTTAACGGTTGGTAATTTTTTAGCTAAAACTCCCAGAAATTTGACAATATATATAAATTCAGATCAACACATCAGTATAATTTGTTATATCACATTTGTGGATTTATTATAGCCAAGTAAAATAACATTATTTACACAGAAGACTGCATAAGACTAAAACATTATGTCTGTACTTTTATTGGTATTATTCTGTTATCAGGACCGGATTCAGAAATGCATGTGTATATGCTTGTATTTATAAATTTAGGTGCTCATGTATGCATATGTTCATATTCTTTATGCATGCATGTGTGTGTGTATATACACATATACATGCATATGCATGTACTTACCTACATACATTTCTGAATCTTGTCCCAATAACAGAAGAGTACCATTTTATTATAACCCAGGCTTGCTTATATGAGGATTCAACTGCATTAACATTCTTTCACAACATATAATTTACACAAAAAGGCCTCTGAAATATGCAATTATAATCAGAAAAATATTCTGAAATGTATGGTATAAATAATAAGTAAAATGTCAGATTTATCCTATATGCTTCATGTATCAAATAATATAAGAATTACGCTTTAGTACAATTTAAATGTTCGTACGATTTATTCTAAGTTGTATTTTTAGTTAACAGTTATATTTTTAGTTAAAGCTACTTTCATGTTGCTTCTAATTTCAGCTTACAAATTTCCTGCCAGAGTGTATTTTTAGATTCGCGGTTAAATGCAAATGAAGGAAAAGCAGTACTTAAAGGCGAAGTTCCACTGACTTTGTCAGAGAGCTAGAGATTCTGACTAGTGTGCGTTCGCCTTTTGGCTACACTCTCTCTAAGCTATTACTGTGCTTGGCTGTATTTCAGGCCCTTGATAGCTTTGCGATTTAGTTAGCATTTAAGGGGCCAACTCCTGTAGAATTTTTATAGCTTGGGTTATATCTTTTTATTTAAGCATTAGTTAAGTTTGCTTTTCTTAATACTCATGAGTTCAAGCCCAAGTGGAGGCTGTTCTGTATGTTCTGAGATAAGGCCACCTTTAGAACTTTATGAGCAATAAAGGGTAATTAAACCCTTCCCAAGCTTACGTGTCTGTCTCCTGAACTAAAGCAATTATTCGCTTACCAGTTCTCAAAGTTCCACACACATAGCTGTAAGTTCTAGGTTGGAACCTTATAAGTTATTAGGTACTTATGGATTATCCCATCAACAATGAAATAGCTGCCAATAGCATGCTTTAACACTACAGTTATTGTTAATTTATTAAAATATGGCAAAGCACACAAAGACTACCTGTCTGAGGCAAGGAATGCTTTCATGGAGGATTTTCTAAAGGAAACTGACTTTTTATGTTACACACGGGGGGAAAACCACAAAAAGGCCCATGCAGACAGCTTGTTCACACAGATTCAAATTCAGGCAGAACTATTAGCATTTACCAGTTTTAACCCCTTGACTGCCAAAAGACATGCCACACTTATTGTCTTTAATATTATTTTTAATTTTATTTAATATTATTTTTGTTATAGTAAACTGCTGCCATACTAGCAAGAACTTCTAAATTATAAATTATATATATATATAAAAGTAGAAAGTAGTAAATCATAAAAACGTGCAACCTTGTTGGTCAAAAACTGCATGTTGAGCTGCAAATTTTACAATAGGTTTATAAGAAAAAGAGAGCTAAAAACGAGCTAGAGCCGTAAAAAGAACTTCCTAATTAGGAACAGGAATTAGGAACATTTGAACTTCCTAATTCCTGATATTACATGTAAAACAAAGTCAAGACAACTAAATCTAAGTAAAATGAAGAAACGTGTTTGTTTTAGTGGGTCATCAACTTGGTTGAAGGCTTCAAGCACTTTTCACTTGATAAGTTCTGTTTGAAACCTTGAACAGAGAAGACTGACCATGTTTTTCTATGTAAAATATTTCTATTTTATGTAAATTGGATAGTTTTTTTTTTTTTTTTCCTTTTGCGTACATATTTTGATTTTGTTGTACAGGTTTTCTATTGTTTGTATAATGGATAGGTTTTTTTTCATGTACATTTTTTTATTTAACTTGAATTTAGTTGCTTTGACATTGTTTTACATGCAATATCAGGAATTAGGAAGTTCAAATGTTCTTTACGGCTGGCTCTAGCTAGTTTTTACCTCTCCTTTTCTTATAAATATATATATATATATATATGTAATATTTTGACAGGCAAGCACTGGAAATGATGAAGCTTAGCAATCTGGTCACTTCAGAGTACGGGTGTGGTTGTGGCGAAAGTGGAAAACATCGGAATTGAAGACACAGAATTTAACTTTTTAGCTCCATCTCTTTATTCAATGCAAATGGCAGGTCATTGAAGATTAAATATGCGATAGCAATTTGAACCAAATAGTATTAACTTTAAATTTACTGCAACATACTATTCAAACAAAGGGAGGCAGATGAGAAGAGCGGCAGCATAGGTCTTAACAGCAGTAGAGGGAGAAAGCGGTCTGACGCAAAATGGCGTGAATTCTTCATTTATAGGAGCAGTTACATAACATGCCCAAATGTTCTCGAAAGTACTGGTCTAAGGGGAAGATCCTGAAATTGTGGAAATTTAATTAGAGGTCGCTTGTTTGCGTAGAGCAAAGCCATTGCATTTTTTTATATTTTGCATCTATATATAAACTAAAATAATAAATAATAGTTTTTAATTTGTAATAAATAATAATAATGGTAGAATTATGCAGTAACAATAGCATAATCAAAGAATCAACAAATTTGCATTTGCCATAATATAATGACATAGAAACTGCTTAAAAATGATTCAATCACTATCCAACCACTGCAATGAAAGAAAATCTATAGCTTTATTTATCATCTCTTATTATCTAATAAGGTAAGTAGATGTTATCATAATTGAACAAATATACTAACTCAAGTTTTTAAAGAATTAAATCTGAGAATCATCTTGCATTACAGAAAACAGTTATTAAACTATTTCATATTGAATATGAGAATGCATTACCTTCTTACCTTTCTGTCATATTTTTGTTTTTTAAAAAATCTCTGGCTTTTTTAAGGATAGGGGGGAAAATATTCCGAATTTTAGCAAGAAACAAAGAAATATCCTTACCTTTCTTTTGCTGCAACCCGATTGTATTAAAATAGCAAAATCTCCTATTTCATGTGGAACTTCATGTAGAAGAATTGTTGCAGTAGTAATTACACCAACACCAGGATTGACAATATATGATGCACCAATTGCTAATCCATCAGTGAAATTATGAAGAAAATCTGCTGCAAGATTTAAATAACCAGCAACCATGATTTCATCTTTTAAATCTGAAAAATATTAAAAGAATTAATATGTCTGAGACATGTAGCACATTTAAAATAAAAACTATATAAAAATATAATGCTCTTAAATTTTACAAAAAGAAAGAACAAAGCTTTCAATAGTTCTGTTTAGAGAATTTATAAATACTTTTGTATTGATGCAACTACCTTAGCACAATTTGGTGATTTTCTACAGATGAAGAGGTAAAAGTTACATACCGATTGCATGTTGGCATGACTTTTTTTTTTTTTAAATTTACAAAACTATCAAAGTGTCAATCAACAAACATTATCAATGTATCAAAATAAAAGACACTTTAGCAATTTGAAATATAAATTTTAATTTTTAAATACCAATTATATTACACATAAAATATATAACACATTTTTGCAAACCTATTCTGTAATTTTTTGCTTTGCTCTTCTTCCCGTGTACATAATTTTTTTTTTTTTGGCTTAAAAATCACAAAACTGCAGAAAATCAGTATTGCTCACTGGCTACCTATCAAAAGCATCTCATTATTATTCCCTTTTCTGATTTTGCTCCAAATTACTGTATTCTTACAGAAATTCTGCACAATTTCTTCCATTGCTGGCAAATTATACAAGCACATATTCTAAATTGAATTTAAAGCAAAAAACATCAGGCTTTGTCTAAAAAACCATTGAAACAAGGAATATAACAAAAAGAATGCGTACAAAAAGGGTGGCTTGGCTGAAGGACTGTCATGGGCATGGTGTCCTGAAGAATGGATGCACATATTGAAAACTTGGAAACTTCTACAATAGTGGTTACGATAATATGTATATATGTATTCCAAGTACCAATTTTTATTTACACTTGTGCGTGCTTGAAATTTAAGCAAAATCTATGAATGAATTATTTAAATCAGCAGTCCTTACCTTTTTTTTTTTTTTTTTTCCTTTTCTGTACCTCTTAATGAGACAGACTATAGTATACCCCTACTCCTCCCTTTAAGAATCCATATTCCTCGATCTTTCTTCGGTATTCTCACAATACATCTTACAATGCTTTTATTTTAAAATTGCAAAATTAATAAACTGTAATAAATTAAGTAAGAAAAGTATAAATTGTTCTTTTTCTGAGAATATTAATTTTTAGGCTGCTTTAAAGGAATTTTCGTTGATAGAATCTGTCCTTCTCATTTCATTTGGTCCAGTAATAGCCCTTGGAAGCTTTTCGAATGGGTTCTGATATTATATTTGACTTTCTTTGTAAAGTGAAGCTAATTTTTATGACAAAAATTTGTAAAGTGTCTCGAAAATTTTGGTGTAATTTATTTTCAATGCATGATTCTCAGAAATACAACGTTTTCAGCATACTGAGCATACATTCAGTTTTTCAGACTCCAGGCTGTTTGGAAAAACCTCAGTTTATTTACTTCTGAAAAAATGTTGGACTATTAAGCAAGTCCTTGAAGCCATTCATTATCACTGTGCATTTTCAAGCCCATTTGAAATGGGTAGTTTTCTGAAACTTGTTTGGAACAGATGCCAATCGGAATTATTCGATATAAATAGTTTCTGTTCTGTGCAAGTACATACTTCTTAAAAATTTATTAAATTTTATATCAGCAATACTTTACAATTTGCAACTTTAAAAGAAACTACATTTAAAACAGAGCTCCACACTTAAATTGATTTGGATATTACAATTTAAGGAAAAAGAGTTACTGACTGATTACTCACTAGATGCTAAAAATACAGTCGGTATATACATTATGTTGTGACAGAACAAAGAAGAGAATTATCATACCCAAATGAGTTAATATGACAAGTGCTGGCAGAGCTAGCTACAACTTATTACATTCCTTTTAAATATATTTTGGATAGTAATATTCGCATCGGAATTAGTCAAACTGACTCTCTATCTAATCAATACCAAATTTTAATTTTCTGAATATTTTGATTTTTATCAGCATTTATTATAACGTTTTGTTTATTTTTTGCATTTTTGATAATTTTCTCATGTACCCCTGCTTATGCCATCACGTACCCCCAGGAATACACATACCACAGGTTGAGAACCAATGATTTAGATTATGGTAATGTACGCCTTGTGTACGCAAGTATGCGAGAGAAGGGATATGAAGGATGGAAGGAAAGATTTTTTACAGAAACTGGTTTGTCACCCCATTATACAAAGTGAAGTCAATAAATAAGACATGCAAGGCAATTATAAAACAAACTAAGGAGATATTTGTCTGAAAACTATTTTTATTTATAAATATAAAGTTCACAATTATTTATACACCTGTAACATTGTTTTATGATTGTTCTAATAACCACCTACATAAAATTCTTTAGGTTGCTGTCTCTAGCACATTAGGTATTAATCTTGAACATCGTCGTCACATGCAAAGTGTTCGCCTCCAAAATGTTTTTTTAGTGGACCAAACGAGTAATGTTACTATTATAATTACATTTATAGAATCAATTTCTCAAGCCTCTGTACTGTTGAGTCTGTCTCAATCTGAAGGGGATGCCCACTTCAGCTTTCATCCACACTTTACAGCAAGTCTTGAAAGCATTTCTTGACCCAACTGTGCACAGCTTAACACAGGCCTGCGCCAAGACTAATCGGTGCTGTTGTACAAATGTCTAGTGAGCGCCTTTATGTAGTTACAATATTAAAGGGACATTGCTTATGGTTAACATTCAAAAATATTAACATAATACAGTCAAAAGTCGTTAATCCGGACTCGTCGGGACTTCGGCGATTCCGGATTATCGATTTTTCCGGATTATAGATCATCAGTTTAAATCTCGTAAGATGGCATGCAGAAATTCTAAAATTAAAAATATGAAACCGTAATTTATGAAATAAATAACAATTATGATCTAAAGCAGTGGTTCTTAACCGGGGGTGGGGATGCGGGAGAAGCCCCTACCTAATGATAAAAATTATTAAATATCATTTATTAAATTTCTTATAATGAAATATTTGAAATCTGCAATAGTGTCCCCAATACTGAAGCTCATAAAAATTGGTAGCACCTAGCTCACTTATCGGCAAAAGATACAGGAAAGAGCCGGTGCTGATGGGCGTATACACTACGCTACGAAAAGGCATGAAACGCTACAAACGAACGCAAACAGGCAGCTAGGTGCCGGAGAAAAGAGAAAAAAAAAGTTTGTGGGAATACAAGCATGACCTTCAAGAAACCTCAATAGCCACGAAGCCACGATAGAAGCGGAGAACATTATCCCAGCTTGTGCATGCGCTGAGTTCAACATGTGCTACTCCAATGAAATCTACGGATTCACAGATTTGTGTCTGCATCTACTGCGCCTGTGTTAGGCTGAGTCAACTATTGTGTCTGCGACATGTGTATTGTGTATTCTGACTTGTCCAGAAACTTCTTGAGACTAATACATTCTTAATTGCCCGTTCAAGCCGAATAGAATTCAGTGATATTACAAATGTAAGAACATTATATATATTATATTACATTATTTCTAAATAATTAAATCGATTATAGTGAACCCCACCATGTCAAAAAAACGACAATGGAACGATAAGTATGCCGGTTATGGATTTACCTGCACAACCGAAAAAGATGGCACGCAACGACCGCGATGCATTTTGTGTTCCAAAATATTTTCAAACCATCAAAGTTATTAGAGCATTTCAACAATGTGCATGGTGGCGAAAAAGCGCATAGCATGAACAGCTTGAAGTCAAAGAAGGCTGGGTTTGATACCAGTGGAACTATCCTAAAATTGTGCGGACCAGCAATTCAAAAACCTTTATTAGAAGCGTCAATATCAAGTGGCATATTTATGTGCAAAAAAAAAAAAAAAAAGAAAAAAAGAAACCTCACACGATCGCTGAAGAGTTGATTAAACCTTCTGCTTTAATTATTGCTAAAACAGTTTTAGATTCGGAAGCACATAAAAAAAATCCAACAGATTCCATTATCGAATGATATTATACGATCGCGAATACAAGATCTCAGTGAAGATATTCTAATGCAAGTAATTGAAGACATAAAAATCAGTCCACTAAAAATAAGCATGCAACTGGATGAGTCAACTGATGTTGATAATTGTAGCCAACGTTTGGTATTTGTCAGTTATGTGAAGGAAAAAGAGGTGATAGAAGAATTTCTATTTTGTGAGCTGCTGGAGGTGAATACGAGAGGAACTGATATTTTCAATCGCATCAAAGATTTTTTTACTAAATATCAATTACCAATGAATGTGATTAGCTCAATATGCACTGATGGAGCCCCAGCAATGTTAGGTAAAAATTTAGGATTTTTATCACACATGAAATGAGAATTACCGGAAGCTATAATAACGCATCACATGTTGCATCGTCATGCACTTGTGTCGAAAGCATTGCCAGAAAGTTTAAAACATCATCTAACTACAGCAGTAAATGTAGTAAAATACATCCGAGGGCGAGCGCTTAATCATCGCATTTTTCGTGCATTTTTCGAAGAAATCGGTGCTGATCATACCGTGCTCCTATATCACATCAAAATATGTTGGTTATCTAAGGGTCGCATGCTTAACAGAGTTTTTGAATTGCGTGAGGAAATATTCAATTACTAACTAGTCAAAACTGTTATTTAGTAAAAGATTTTGAGAGTAATGATGCAATGCTGAGGCTGGCCTACTTAGCAGACATATTTAGCCATTTAAATGAACTGAATCTATCAATGCAAGGATTTGGTATAAATATAATAATATCTAGTAAAAAATCATCTTCATTTATCGCAAAATTATGAAATTTGGATACGTCGAGTAGAAAAGGGGAATTTAGCAAACTTTCCCTTGCTTGATTCAGTTATTATGAAAAATGAAAAGAATGCAATTATACCCGACATTGTAATACATTTGAGACGATTGAGTGAATCATTCATTTTCTACCGGAAATATTACCAAAACTTAGAGATGGATACTGGAACCATTTCTATTTGACTTAAATTTGATGGATGATAGTGATCTGAAAAAAGATCATCTTATTGAAATGCAAG